AAGACTGGCAACCTTCACAAAATGGTTGAGTTGGTGAATGAATCCTGAGATCATCCATTTCCAGATTTCTTGTTAAGCAAAGAATAAATGTCCTTGTAGTGAGTCTGCCGTTGTTTATTAGGGTTTCCATTATTTGCAGCTGAAAATATTCCTAACTAATATGGAACTTTATTATCTCTTCACTGAACTATACTGACTCCCAGGGAAAGCATGGCTGACCTGTTTCATGTTATTATTTTTTTAGTTTTATTTATTTATTTTGAGAGTGAGAGAGAGCATGGAGGCATACGTGGTGGGGAGGAGCAGAGGGAAACAGAGAATATCCCAAGCAGGCTCCACACTGTCAGCACAGCGCCCGATGAAGCGTTTGAACTCACAAACCATGAGGTCATGACCCAAGCTGAAATTAAGAGTCAGATGTTTAACGAACTGAGCCACCCAGACACCCCTCATGTTAATTTTTAAACTCTGGGATGCTGCTTAAACCTCTCTAGCTTCCCTCAACAGCCTGCTAGAGCTCATCAGCCAAGAATTCATCTTAAATTTTCCAGAGGGCTTTTACCTTTTCTGTTCATGCCAACTCCCCAGAGACAGAGTTTTAGGAGTTCACACTGTGATAAACAGAGTATGGCTTTTTTTTTTTTTTTTTTTTTTTTTTTTTTTTAATTACCCCTTCAAAGTTCCAAGGGCTTTCAGGGTCTCATGTTTAAGGATTTGATGAACAATTCTCTATTCTTTTTGTTGGTGAACTCTGCCTTTTATGGACCTTAAACATAGCCCTTTTTACTCTAATCTTTAGCGCTGGAGGTTGGGTGTTGTGGGAAGGTTTCAGTATTCATTTTAGATTCTTCTTTATAGTTTTATAATGTTTAATTATAGTTTACAACATGAATACAAATCGTGGTAACTTGTAAGGGGATAGGGAAACACACTGTCTCTTAATTTTTGTGTTTCTAAATGAGAGCCGTTTATTATTTTTACTCCTTTCTTAGATGCTGTTTTATCTCTTTGAATTATGATTCAAGGAAATGTTTCCCACCTTGTGAAGGGAAGAAATGATGGAATGGCAGGTGCTGTGTATGGCATGGTGAGTAAGAAATGGTCTTTTTTTGGAGGTAGGATCAACTTGATCTGATCCATCTTTTTTTTTTTTTTTTTTTTTTTTTTTAAAGAGAGAGAGCATGAGCAGAGAGAGACGGGGACAGAAATGGGGGTGAAATTAGGATTGATGTCAGGGGTTGTTGAGAGGGCTCAGTATGTGTTGATATTGGCCTGGCTCGGTGCCTGATGCATCCTAAACTCGTGCTAAATGTCTGCTGGTGTCATTGTTCTTAAGTTTTCATGCTGTGCCACTGTGGTGGATTTTACTTTTTTCAGATTCGCATTTTTCTTACTTTTTATTTTGGTGTGATTTTAGGTTTAAAGAAAAGTTGTGAAGAGGTACAGAGAGTTTTCATACACCCCTCACCCAGTTCCCCCCATTGTTAACATCTCACATTACCATGGTGTATTACTGTTAACTAAACTCCAGACTTCAGTCCGCATTGCGATCAGTTGCCCTGGCTCCCCAGGCTCCTCTGGTCTTAGAGTTGCTCAGTCTTGCCTTGTTTTTCATGACCTTAACAGTCATAAGGAGAGAGTCCTGGGCTTTTGAGTCTTCTGAGCCCACAGACAAAGAGTAGAGGGCGTTGACCAAAGATGGAGAACTGCATCCCTCCACTGGGAGAGTGTAGCTCTGGCTTGGGGGGAGGTATTTTGAGAAGACTCCACCTGCACTAGGTTCTGTATACCACGGAGGGATGAATGGAGGTATGTGGGCAGAGTGGAGCATCGCAGGGTAAACTCTGATGTATTTGTGGTAAGGTTGGTAACTGGTAACCCTTGCTCCTCATTTCTGTTGAGTATTAGGCTACGTCAGAAGCTCTCTCTGATCAGCCCTCATCCTGAACCCTTTCCCTCGACTTCTCTTGGATAGCTCTACAGCTCCCCCTTCTAGGTGTCCAGGAGACAGAATTCATCTCCGAAGGAGGGAGAAACTCTCTAGTTGAACAGATCCACAGCTGCGCACGCTATTACCTTCTGGGGCTTAGTACGTTTCCATTCATGGTCATGTTCACACAGCCCCGAAGGACATCTGAGCCCCATTAAGTCCAGATTTACATTCTTCTCCAACAAATGGCAGTGCTTCAGAAAGTTTGTTTATTTAACATAAAGCGCAATTTTAAAAAGTTTTAGCCCCGAGAGTATGGGAGTTTATGTGACTTCATGCCCCTCTTTCTGGGGTAGAATAAACAAAACAGGGAAATGGCAAAATCTATAGGGCTTTTCCTCCCTCCTCTTGGATGGCTGTTTTTTTCCGTTTATAATACTGTGGGGCAAAACTTCTATGAAGGAAGAAAAAAGAAAGATTGTCTTCTCTTGCGCAAAGTTGTTTGTGTCCATGTGTATGGCAGCTTTGGAAAACCTAGCTCCTTCCTTATCACTTTTCAGTTAACTTTATCCTTTTTACTTCAAGTTGGGAAATGAATTACGTTGTCCCGTGTGTGCGCGCGCACGAAGTCTCAGGAAGGATCTTGGACTTGATGTAACCAAATTATTTAAAACTATTTTTTGTGTATGTGCTCACATGCCTGAATTGTCCTTGTTTTTAGGGCTCTGTCATAGCCTGCAGAGTCGATTAGTCCCAGCAGAGCTTTTAAGCTAACCAAAGTCAAAACCCAGAGTAAGGATATATCCCTGCAATCAGGCAATCCTTCCCAAAGTGAACTTCAGAGATTCTTTTTTTTTTTTAATTTTTTTTTCAACTTTTTAATTTAGTTTTGGGACAGAGAGAGACAGAGCATGAACGGGGGAGGGGCAGAGAGAGAGGGAGACACAGAATCAGAAACAGGCTCCAGGCTCTGAGCCATCAGCCCAGAGCCTGACGCGGGGCTCGAACTCACGGACCACAAGATCGTGACCTGGCTGAAGTCGGACGCTTAACCGACTGCGCCACCCAGGCGCCCCCAGAGATTCTTTTTTAAACAACTTCCTTGAGGTATAATTTACATACCATAAATTTGCCTTTTTTTTTATTGAGGTGTAATTGACATACAACAGTATATTAGTTTCAGGTGTACAACGTAATGATTCAATATTTGTATATACGTCACAATAGCCACCACAGTAAATCTAGTGAACGTTTGTCACCTAGAGGTCTTTTCAATAGTCTTTGAGCCATGAGATGTCACTTTGGGGTAGAGCAGGTATCATGTTAGAAGTCTGGAGGAGTAGGGAGATCAGTCAGAGGAGCAGAGATGACAAGTAGATAACAAATGGTCATAATGGTATTTAAAAGAGAAGCAGATCATGATATTAAACGTCTCAAAGTGTTCGGCAATCGTCAGTCACTGATGGGAATCATCTGTCAACAAAGTGAGTCAATATTTGACCGAAGAGTTTTTGCCCTCAGTATATTAGTAACAGGTCAGATTTAACATGAAAAACTACAAGGGATTAGCAGATTCGGCTGGTACTGGAGTCACATGGTATTAAATATTGCTGGAAATAAGTGGGTCCCGGGAAGAGTTAAGATTATCTGCTCTTGCAGTCTCATTCGCTATAATGGGACTTAGTCTTCCCGGAACCGAAAGTTCCCGCCAACACTGTCTCCTTTTGTGACCATGCAAACGTCAATCACAGGTTTTAGCTGCCACTTTGAGTTAGATTTTGGAAACCATAAAAAATTGTCTTCTTCCAGCTTCAGAGGTGAGGGACACAGATTGAGAGGTGTGACATTAAATCAGGTTGCAAATGGTTGACAGGCACAATTCCTGGCCACCAGACTTTTAATGGGCTCTGGCCATCAGCGTTCAGAGCTTATTTCCTACTCTGGAGCCTGCTGCACTTCATAAATAGCACCAGGAGGGGGACTGAGGGCCCAAAGGTCCTGGTAGATGCACCGTGATTGCTCTTGGAATACAGTCTCCGGGCAGGTTAGCTATGCAGAGGTAAGACCAGTCCTCGTGTAAGAGCTGTCAGCCTGGAGGTGAGGTCTTACACTGACCATTATTCTCATGGCCCACATCCCTCCCCCAGTGGTGTCCCGGGAGCCCGCCAAAGAGGCTCCACCCTGTAACTTCCTTCCCTTTGAGACTCACAGACTTGTCTTCGTGCTGCTTTCCTTAATGTCTTTCACCATGGTTCTAACGCCCATCCTGTCCACATACTATCTTTGGGAGTCATTGAAAAGGCACCGCTCTTGGAGAACGTGCCAGGGAAAGCAAGGGCGGCTCCCCATCCCACCCCAGTCCTGGAGGCTCCTTTTCCTTAATGAGCCTGTTTAGTGAATCAAGAATATTCCATTAACCAAATAAGTAGAGCTGCCAACAGGAATGCTCCAAGGAAAATAAATGAAAACTTGTCTACTTTGCGCTGTTTTGGTGGCCAGTCTCTTTTTTTAATCATGGTGCCTGTGCTATTTCTTCTCAGGCTGTAGCATATTAGAACAAACGCACTCTGAGGGTGCCTGGGTGGCTCAGTCGGTTAAGCCTCCGACTTTGGCTCAGGTCCTCATCTCATGGCTCATGAGTTTGAGCCCCGTGTTGGGCTCTGTGCTCACAGCTCAGAGCCTGGAGCCTGCTTCGGCTTCTGTGTCTCCCTCTCTCTCTCTCCCCCTCCCCTACTCATGTGCGCACTCTCTCTCTCTCTCTCTCTCTCTCTCAAAAATAAATAAATGTTAAAAAAATTTTTTTTCAACTATTAAAAAAAAAAAAAAAAGAACAAACACACCCTGAAAGTCCTGGGAGTGTTTTCATGTGGTGATAATTCCCAGCTCAAAATTTATAGTACTTGATACTTGCCTCTCCTCACTGCCTAAGGCACTGCATGGTAAGACACTAAATGTTCAAGGAGGCACATTAACTGTTTCAAGCCATTGGCTGGCAAATCTAAATGTTGGCTATAATTACAACAACAAAACAGTAAAAAATTACTATTTTAAAATGTAATCTATTGAGCAGACCTCATATAAATGCTCTTATATCTCTTTAAATGGCAAGTCCTTGTCAAATGAGTTTGAAGGAGTGAAGAGAACTCCCTTCAAAGGGCACATGTCATCATTTTCTCCATTTTAGAAAAAATAAGGAGCTCTCTTGGTAGAAACTGATGACTCCAAAGCTGTAATTTTGAAAGGGCTAACGTACCTCCTCAAGCTCCAAATTTGGTTGCTTCTTACTGTCTCCACTTATCAGAGGAGGAACCTGCTTATCCTTGGCTAAGCAGTCAAGAGAGACTACATAGTAAGGTGGATAAGACTCTAGGCTTTGCCTTGGACAAGCCTGAGTTCAAGGCACAGCTCTGCTGCTCATAGCCTTTGTGGCCCTGAGTAAGTTGTCTAACCTCTCTGAGCCTTCACTTCACCAAGTATAAAATGCACAGCTTTGGAAATTAAACAAGGGTACTCATATGGAACCCCTGAACCCTTTCAAGGAGACAGAGTGGCAGGGTGGTTAAAGAGCAGGGCCATTAGAATAAGGTAGGCCTGAGTCTACACCCGCCTGTTGGACCATGGACAAGTCACTTTACCTCGCCAATAAGCCTTCGTTCTTCCATTTAAAAATTGGTGACGACAACAATAGCATCTGCATCATGAGAACCAAATGGCATGTACTAGAGGAGTATATCAGAAAGATAAGGAATAGCTCAAAGGAAAAGCTAGAGGGCCATCCTTGGAGGATATGAACCAAGGTAGACATGGAGACCCAGTGAACATGTTTTCAAATCATCCCACCTACACAGTGGAGTTAAACAGAGCATAATGTGTTGATATGGTTTACATACTTAAGTCTCTTAGGGATTTGATTGGCTCATGTTGGCTTCTCCAGGTCTGATCTACTCTAAGGCACCGGTGAGGCAGAACACCTAACCTGTACCATCGTAACTTTATTGGTACACTACCAACCTATGCCATTGTGGTGGACACAACTGTCCTAGAGATAACCTAACATCCTCACTGTCTCCTTTTTAGCTTGCAGCATCTGAGTTTTAGTTATGTTTACTATATCATAACTAAGTCCATAATAAGTGAGGAATGCCCTGTTTGTCTCTCTCATGTTTCGTGTTCCCAGGACCTTGATCTTGTTGTTGTTAAAATGAGAGTTAATTTTTCTCCCATCTAAAAGTATTATGGTGTGTAGTTCAGGAGTGGGTATAGTAGCTCTGCTTTGCAGAATATTCAGCTTCCGTCCCTGCTTCACCGCATGACTTCTCTAACTGAGTTCACCTCATGGTCTAATATGGCTGCTCCAGCTCCTGCCATTATAACCACATTCTAACCCAACAGAAAGAGGCAAAAAGGAAAGGGTAAAGGGCCTCCTATATCAGCTTTATTTTCAGAAAGGCTTTTATAGGCTGCCACATGACACATGAACTCAGTCACATGAACACACTGAGCTAAAAGTGTATCTGGGAAATGTCCTTACTCTAAATAGTCAAGAATGTAGTTGAAAAATTAGAAGGAGAACTTGTTGGCAGAGAGTTAGAAGGGCCTTAAGCACATAATCAGTTTTCCTCTTCAGGTAGTTTGTTGCTTTGTGGGGCTGTGCAGGACTAAAAACCTAAATGGAAGGCCTCTGAAAAGCAAAACTGAAGCCTTTTGCAATATCTTGAGATAAAGATTGGAGTTACAGACCCTCCAGGGAAATGAAATCTGTACAATCAAATCATTACAGTGTGCATGTTAACTGTATTACAATTTTATTTGTCACTTATACCTCAATAAAACTGAAAAGTAAAAATAAGTATAGATTTCAGTTCTCTAAATGTTTCCATCTTTTTAACCTATTTGCTCCATATACTTCCCCATTTTCTTCTGTATTTTAAGCATAGTTACTTTTTTTTAAGTTTATTTATTTATTTTGAGAAAGAGAGCATAGGGGGAGAGGCAGAGAGAGAGAGAGAGAGAATCCCAAACATGTTTTGCACTGTCAGCATGGAGCCGGATGTGGGGCTCAAACTCACGAACCTTGAGATCATGAATTGAGCTAAATGCTCAAGAGTCGGACGCGTAAACTGACTGAGCCAGCCAGGTGCCCCAAGCATAGTTATTTTAAAGTCTTTACCAGCTACCTTTAATGTGTTTCTCTTATCTGCCTATGATTTTTATCGTTCATTTTGTTAATGTGTTTATCGCGCTTATTGATTTGCATATATTGAACCATCCTTGCATCCCAGGAATAACCCCACTCGATCATGGTGTATGATCCTTTTAATGCACTGTTGAATTAAGTGTGCTAATATTTTCATCAGGAGTTTTGCATCTGTGCTCATTAGGGATACAGACCTATAGTGTTCTTGCCTGGCTTTGGTATCAGGGTAAGGCTGGCTTTGATATTTGGCACTTTCAGTCCTTCAGTTTTGTTCTTAATTCAAGATTATCTGTTTTATTAGCTCTTTGTATTTCCATATGACTTCAGAATCAACTGGTCAATTTCCAGGAAAAAGAAGAAACAACCATGCCAAGATTTTGTTTGTACTTGCTTTGTGTCTATACATTAGCATGGGGAGGACACCTGTGAATACTGAACTTTCCTGTCTGTATTATAGCTCTTCCTTTATTTATGAATGTTTTTGTATTTTATAGTTTTCTGTATAGAGGTATTACATGCCATTCATTTAATTTATTCCCAGGTATTTCATACCTTTTGATCCTATTGTAAATGGCATCATTTTAATTTTCGGCGTGTTTGTGGCTTGTATGTGAAAGAAAAAAATCGGTCTCATTTTTAAACCAGTGACCTTATGGGGCGCCTGGGTGGCGCAGTCGGTTAAGCGTCCGACTTCAGCCAGGTCACGATCTCGCGGTCCCCGAGTTGGAGCCCCGCGTCGGGCTCTGGGCTGATGGCTCAGAGCCTGGAGCCTGTTTCCGATTCTGTGTCTCCCTCTCTCTCTGCCCCTCCCCCGTTCATGCTCTGTCTCTCTCTGTCCCAAAAAAAACGTTGAAAAAAAAAATTAAAAAAAAAATAAATAAACCAGTGACCTTGCTTAATTTGTTTATTAAACCTAATAGGTATTTTTGTATTCTGTGTGTATTCACGTCATGTGTATTCATGTCATCTCCAAATACTGACCATCTTATTTTTACTTTCCACCCCTTAGCCCTTTTGTGTATATTTCCTACCTCCTTGTCCTGAGTAAGACCTCTAGTACAATAGCATAAGTATATGATATTACTCCATATCCTAGGCAGACATTTTTCAGTATTTTGCTAACAATGCGGTGAGCCTTGCTAGGACAAGCCACCCCAAAAAACAATGGTTTAAAATAATAGCGATTTATTATCTCTCACCAATTTGTGGACTGGTTGGGTGTTTCTTCTGTTTTCATGTAGGTTGACTCATGTGGCTGCTTGGCTGCTCCCTTCTTGGCTGGGAGATCCCAGGTGGCCTCATCTTGCACTTGGTGAGGGCTGTGGGCTTGGACATCACCCTTGTCCTCCAAGAGGCACCTCCTATGCCAGGACCTGTGACTGGCTTCTTTACTCGTGGCCTAAGGGCAGCTTTTCAAGAGGCAGCTTGTCTTTTTAATAAACCGTGGTTGAGGATTGCAACTAGACACGACAACTAAAAAGTGGGAGAAATCAGAAGTTCTGTAGATAAATTAATTAGCTTTTGAGTAAGCTAGTGCACAAATCCTTAAAAATAAAAACTTTAAATATCTGGGAGCTTTGGAAATAAATCCTGGCTGCAGAGGAGTGGGTGAAGATCTAACAAGGATGGAAAAGTACTCTGTTTGCATATTGTAGAATTAGCATATGAAATTAGAGAAGAATAGGACCTTCTCAGCCATGCACCGTTTGGAAATATTTCTCCTAGTGATGACTAAAAGTACAACCCAGGCCCAGGCAATTCCCTGACACAGTGGTCATTGGGACATCCTGGCACCCCCATCGATATTTCTCAAAATTGGATGTAAAAAAAAACAAAAAACAAAAAACCAACAAAACCCTTTTGGATTAATGTAGTATAAAATCTGTATAACTCATTAGATTTGGGATTATTACTCAAATCATCCTAAGGGTAGCTTTTGGATTGGTATGAACTCCATTGATTTCCATGGCACTGGTGGTGAATCAGTCTCACTACTGCCCAGATGTTAATGCTACCTGAACATTAGCTGTCTGAGCAAAAAATTTTATTCAAAACTTTTTAAGGGAAGAAAAAGGTATTTAATAAGTTGCTGTCACCTCGTGAAGAACCATGGAAGAATATTTTACAGATTGCTAAGGAACCACTCTGATTATACCTGGAATTTCCCGTCTTTAAAAATGAAAACTTAGGGGCGCCTGGGTGGCTCAGTCGGTTAAGCGTCCGACTTCGGCTCAGGTCACGATCTCACTGTCCGTGAGTTCGAGCCCCGCGTCGGGTCCTGTGCTGACAGCTCGGAGCCTGGAGCCTGTTTCGGATTCTGTGTCTCCCTCTCTCTCTGACCCTCCCCCGTTCATGCTCTGTCTCTCCCTGTCTCAAAAATAAATAAAACGTTAAAAAAAAAAATAAAAAAAAAAAAAAGAAAAGTTGGCTTAACAGAGCTTTGTCACATATTAATAAGGCTGATATACTGAAAATCCCTGTGTCTGGGTTTTGAAATCAAAGTTAATTCTGTATATAAAGTAAATTTTTAATTTACTTTTCTTCAGAAATTAAAGAAAGTCTCTTATCGAAATTCAGTTCCATACTATAATCAAGAAAATCTCAAATCTTTTGACTCAAACAGAAGGTCCACTGTAAAGATATTGTCACTTCCATACAAAATGTCAGTTTGTGGAATTATTGAGGTCAAACCAAAGGGGGAATTAATAGTTTAGTTTTGGGAGTATGGACCACTAGATACACATATGTTGATTTTCCTCATGAAATGTGAAGGAAAAGGAAGAGGTGTTGGAACAGTGAGATGGATTCTCTCTTCTCTTTGAATTTTTAGTCCAGTAAAGTCCATAGAGTTCTTGTATGTGGCTATCATTGTTATAACCTGCATAACTTTTCTATTGGCGCTAGATCACAAATTACCACAAACTTCGAGGCTTAGTGTCTTACAGTTTTGTGGGTCGGAAATTGGGGGAGCATAGTTTCTGTTCTTGTCTCGCAGATTGAAATCGAGGTGTCGGTGCAGTGGAGTTTGGTTCTGGAGCCTGGGGGAAGAATCCGCTTCCAGGCTTGTTCAGGTTATGGGCAGAATCCTGTTGCTCATGGTTACAGGACTGAGGTCCCTGTGCCCTCCCTGGCTGTCCTCTGGGTGATACTCTGAGTTCCCAGAGACCTCCCCTGAGAAAAACACAAAGCTTCTAAAACTTGAAGGAGGGGCCTCAACCCTTGTAAACCTTGAAGGCTGAGCTCTCAGGGACTGTTGACGGACATCACGCCCAGGGCTTTTAGACATGATGTCTCTTATGATGAGGTCTCAGGGTTCGGGTTGATTATTTTATGCTGTTCCCACTGCCACTGCCTTTCCCAAGACTGCCCTGCCTCTACTTCTGGGGAATCCTTGGTGCTGTGAGATTTCACCTTGATAATTACAGTGTTTTTGGCCAACCTCACCAAATGTTGGGGCCTTTTAAATATTAGGACCTCAAAAAAAAAGTAAATAAATATTAGGACCTCGTTAGACAAGCTTGCTTTGTCAGATTTTTATTTTTAGATTTTTAAAAAATCAAATGTATTGAGTTATAGTTTACATGTAATAATAAGCATCTCTGTTAAGTATATGTGTTGATAAGGTTGGGGGAGTTATTCATCCATGTGATAACCTCTACAGTCAAGATCTACAACACTTCCATCACCCCAAAAAATTTCCTCGCGTCCCATCCCAGTCAGACCTCACCTCTCATCTTCCTCACTCCTCCCTGCCAGGCAGCCACTGATCTGCCTTCTTTTGCAATACCATAATTTGTCTTTTTTTAGAGTTTTCATAAATAGAGAATCATCTGTAGCTACATCTCTATTCACACACACACACACACACGCTTTTATCTGGCTTCTTTGACTTAGAGTGATGCTTTTATTTATTTTTTTAATAAGCCCTTTTTAAAAAAGTTTATTTTTTCTTGAGAGAGAAAAAGAGAGAATGAGCAAGGGAGGGGCAGAGAGAGAAGGACTCTGAAACAGGCTCCTCGCCATTAGCGTGGTGCCCGACTCGGGCTCCAACTCAGGAACCCTGAGAACATGACCTGAGCCAAAATCAAGAGTCAGAGGCTTAAAGACTGAGCCACCCAGGTGCCCCTGGTGTGATGGTTTTGACATTCATCCCTGTTGTCATGTGTATCAGTACTTTGGTCCTCTTTATTTTGAGTCATTTTCTGTTGTATGGATATAGCACCATTATCCCTTTTCTGTATCCCTCGGTTAAATTTGCTAATATTTTGTTCAGTGTTTTCAAATTTTTGTTATGAGGGATATTGGCCTGTACGTTTCTTATAATGTCTTTGGTTTTAATATCAGAGTAACCCTGGTCTCATAAATTGAATTAGGAGGAATTTGGGACATTTATTGCTGTTTTCAGGTGGCTTTTCTTTTTTCTTGTCCCTCTCTCGGGTACTGTTTACCCCAAGGAACCCAGAGATGGCCTTCAAAGGGCTTTCTTTCTAGGATGAGGGAGAGCACAGAAGCCCCTGGCACTGCAGTCAAGACTTTGTGGCTTAGCAGCAATCTCCCATTCCTGTTCAGGTTACCCCACATCAGGAACGCCCAGATGCTTAAGCAGTATACACAGAAACACCACAACCCTGACCTTCCAAACAATTTTAGCCCCCCTGCTGAGTCTGGCTGCTTTTGCTTTTTTGGCGTGAAGCAGAGGCCCACATCCTTCCCTCTGGATGATGTAGTATAATCCCCCTAAACCAGAAATGCTTACTCTTATTCCCTTAGGGATAAAGGAGAGGGAAGGGGGAAGCAGTGCCAGTAAAGGGGATAGGATGTTCAGACCTTTAAAAAAACAATTCCAGGGTTGCCTGGGTGGCTCAGTTGGTTAAGCGGCTGATTTCAGCTCAGGTTGTGATCTTGTGATTTGTGAGTTTGAGCCCCATGTTGGGCTCCGTGCTGACAGCTCAGAGCTCAGAGCCTGCTTCAGATGCTGTGTCTCCCTCTCTCTCTCTCTACCCCTACCCTGCTGGTGCTTTGTCTCTCTCTCTTTCAAAAAAAATTTTTTTTTTCAACGTTTATTTATTTTGGGGACAGAGAGAGACAGAGCATGAACGGGGGAGGGGCAGAGAGAGAGGGAGACACAGAATCGGAAACAGGCTCCAGGCTCTGAGCCATCAGCCCAGAGCCCGACGTGGGGCTCGAACTCACGGACCGCGAGATCGTGACCTGGCTGAAGTCGGACGCTTAACCGACTGCGCCACCCAGGCGCCCCACAAAAATATTTTTAAAAAAAACTAAAAACCAACCGACAAACAAACCCAACAACAACAACAACAACAACAATAAAACAATTTCAGGCTTTGCCTGAGGGTGGAACAGGGAAGGGAGGCACATTAAATCCCTTCTAAGTACCAGAAGCAAAAATTCCAGAAAAATAGTTAGTGTTCCGCTTAACCACTCCCTATGAACGCAGCCAAGGCAAATTTAAATCCATACATAAACTTTTAGAGAAGGAATATCACCCATCACATAATGTCCCTTCTCAACCATTTATCTCTTACAAATCTGGAGACCGTCTCTCATCTCCATACTTCAGAGAGAGCCAAAGATACTTGAAAACTACCATTTTATGAGGTTTTGGGGGGCCTCAGACAAATGAAATTCCTGCCGATTCCACACATATCCTGAGTTGGCATGCAGATCAGGCTCTCTTACGGTTCTGGCCAGCAGAATCAGGAGAAGGAACACATAATGATGACTTCCAGCCGAGGACTGAGTTTACTGCATCATGCTACATAAAATCCCATGATCTCCAAGTGCCTTTTTGTTGATATTCAAGCAAGAATAATGACCCTCAATAAATACGTTCTAGCTCTCGTTGTGTGAGTTTGTGTGTGTAAACGCACACACGTGCAGTTATAATAGTTATATGATTAAGGCATTAGTATACTGGGAGAGTAATGTTCAAAATTTAGGGTCTGTTTTCCTGTGTTGTTTGGTAGACTCACCGTAGACTCCTAAAAGGGCTGGAACAAGTTACCTGAACCCTGGCCACTCATGGAGATTCCTCAGGGATTTCAGTCCCCATTACCAGGTAACTCCATTATAAATCAGGCACGTTGCTGAGATGGAAGCCAGAACTGAGTGGAATGTTTATGAGAAAAAAAGAGAATTGGTTTGTTAGAGCATTTGGAATTTGACCTTGAGTATAGCAAGATATTTGGATCAACCAATTTTCAGGGGCCAAGGAACCAAAATGGTACGGGGAGGCTGGCAGAAAGCCAAGGTGTCGTCAACCTTGGGATGGAGGGAAGAAATCAAGACTGATTTTGAAATCAAGATTTCGATTTAAGATAGACAGTTTGAGAGAATGAAAAGAATATAAGATGGGGAGATAAGTTACCAAGTTCGGGTCCTGTCTCTGCTCCACTATAGTTTTGTGGCTTCCAGACCCTTCACTTACTCTCTCTGGGACTTAGTGTCTTCATTTCTAAAAAGAAAGTTAAAGAGTTTGGTTATTAGATTATGTCTAGCTTTCAAGTTTTAACACTGTGAGGACATAAGTATTCTATGTCTTTGCTTATTTGTTTTATAATGTTCTTTATAAAGTTGTTAGTCGGTCTGAGACCTAAGTAGAAACAAAGAAAGGGAATACTTCAGCTAGACGCAGCAGCAATTCAGGGGAGAAGAATCAGAGACTGCTCAACATTCCTTACTTCTAGAAGATTTTTTTCCGTTCTTGAGAAGATTTTGTATTTTTATTTAAGCACATGGTGACTTGGCTAAAGAAAGCTATAAAAATCCTGGTATCCCAAGACATAAGCAAACTCTACATAAATCTTGTAATTTTCTTTATCCTATAAGCAGTAAGCAGGTCCTATAAACAGTCATACCGAGTATAAATATTGAAAGCTCTTGGGGTTTACAGTGGATTGTTTGACCAACCTCCCTAACTTTCCCTCTCCTGGGAACAGCTCCCTATGCCCCCGTCCTACACACACCTCCTCACACCCACCCACCTGGTCTCAGGGTAAGCAGACATCTCCCTGCTACGTGGTCAACCTCTGGCCGCCTTCTTCTTGCTGGAAATCTGTTCATTTTGAGACGGAGAAAGAAGGCATCATGGGAGTCATTTGGGAATAATTTTTGCTTCCGAGCTCAGGATTTTCATGAGTGAATTAGGAGGAGGAATAGATTTGGGACTGAGAAAGGGAGAGTTAATTACTTTCAAGGCGTTCGCTGATCACGCACTTGGCAGTGTCCTGCAGGCAGTTGAACGTACTGACCTGCAGCTCCCAAAAGAAGTGCAGATAGGAGTTGGAAATCATCAGGGAACAGGCTGTCCACGAAGGTGTGGGAGCAGCTGTATTCTCCCAAGGAGAGTGAGAAAGGCCAAGAATAGACCCTTATGCAAAAGAAGAGGAGAAAAAACCAATCAAAAGAGATTGCGAAAGATGGTCAGGACTGCGGGCCAGACCTGTATCACTGTCCTTTGCTCTCTGAGGGGACAGCCTCTGGCTCACACACATGCCCTCTGTCTGTTTTACCTATAAGTCACCAGTTTTTAATATTTTGTGCCTAAGATGTCAACAGTTCCAGAATACAACAGTGTTCCAGCTTGCCCAGCAATCTGTCCGCATGTATCATTAATTCATAACTACATAAAGATAGTTTATGAGATAAAATATCTGCCCTTGCTTTGTCTGCCATATTTCACATCCCTTACATCCGTTGAGATTGGCAGAAGTACCTGTTAGACCTTTCGGAAGAGACCTCAGGGGCTGGACCACAAGGCCATAATAAGTAAGCGCTAGAATCCAGGTTTTGGGGGCACCTGGCTGGCTCAGTTAAGCGTCCAACTCTTGATCTTGGCTCAGGTCACAACCTCAGAGTTTGTGAGTTCAAGCCCCACGCTGGGTTCTGCACTGATGGTGTGGAGCCTGCTTGGGATTCTGTCTGTTCTCTCTCTGCCCCTCCTCCTCTCTCACTCTCTCAAAATAAAGAAACTAAAAAAAAAAAATTTTTTTTTAATGAATCCATGTTTTGACCTCTTGAGTTTTCATTTCAGTTGAAAAAGAAAATGGGATCTGTGACTTTTCTCTTGTAGGGAACCAGCAAAGGAGGGGATTCTGGTTCTGGTGGGTAAGTGAGAATGTCAGAGTCATTTAAAACCTAGAGTTTTGGGGCGCCTGGGTGGCCCAGTCGGTTAGGCGGCCGACTTCGGCTCAGGTCATGATCTCGCGGTCCGTGAGTTCGAGCCCCGCGTCTGGCTCTGTGCTGACGGCTCAGAGCCTGGAGCCTGTTTTGGACTCTGTGTCTCCCTCTCTCAGACCCTCCCCTGTTCATGCTCTGTCTCTCTCTGTCTCAAAAAGAAATAAAATGTTAAAAAAAAAATTAAAACCTAGAGTTTTGAGTCTTGCCCTTGGGTTTCATGAGACTGACTACTCAAGATCTTACCCTCTTGGGGCGCCTGGGTGGCGCAGTCGGTTAAGCGTCCGACTTCAGCCAGGTCACGATCTCACGGTCCGTGAGTTCGAGCCCCGCGTCAGGCTCTGGGCTGATGGCTCAGAGCCTGGAGCCTGTTTCCGATTCTGTGTCTCCCTCTCTCTCTGCCCCTCCCCCGTTCATGCTCTGTCTCTGTCTGTCCCATAAAGAAATAAAAACGTTGAAAAAAAACTTAAAAAAAAAAAAAAGATCTTACCCTCTTTAAGTCTTACCAAATTCTCGCCTGGAGTGAGATAAAGTTGAATGCCTTACTCCAGCAGAGTCCGGCATTTTCCTCCCATTTTCTTTCTTTTTTTTTTTTTTTTTTAATTTTTTTTTTCAACGTTTATTTATTTTTTGGACAGAGAGAGACAGAGCATGAATGGGGGAGGAGCAGAGAGAGAGGGAGACACAGAATCGGAAACAGGCTCCAGGCTCTGAGCCATCAGCCCAGAGCCTGACGAGGGGCTCGAACTCACGGACCGCGAGATCGTGACCTGGCTGAAGTCGGACGCCCAACCGACTGCGCCACCCAGGCGCCCCCTCCCATTTTCATACCAGAGACAGACTCAAACAGAAACACTGTTTTGGTTGGGTGAATATTTTTATGTTTCAGCTCACCAGTTGCAGAAAATAAATGGATATGGTTTCAGTTTGAACTACATCCTCAGGGTTTATTTATGTATTTAAAACATAAGTTTAGTTTTGCCACTGAGCTAAAAAAAACAAAAGCAAAAGAGGGGGAAATAAGTGAACTCAATTCAAAATTCACAAAATGGAGGCGCCTGGATGGCTCAGTCAGGTAAGCCTCCCATTCTTGATTTCTCCTTGGGTCGTGATCTCGTGGTTCGTGAGATCGAGCCCTGCATCAGGCTCTGCTCTGGTAGCATGGAGCCTGCTTGGGATTCACTTTCTCCCTCTCTCTCTGCCCCTGCTCATGCTTGCTCGCTGTCTCTCTCTCTCTCTCTCTCTCTCTCTCTCTCAATCTCAAAACAAATAAACTTAAAAAAAAATTCACAAAATGTGCAGCCATTGGTATACAATATGGGTCAAATTCCTAGCTATTTATTCTTAGCTGCCTCATTCAGAGAGAAGTGGATAACATTTTAGCCTTTATTAGAAAGGTCTATGAAAAATAGATTACTTCTTATTCCTACTCCATTTTCCTCTGAGTAAAGGTGAATTTTCCTAAATATAGTAAAGTCTAAGTAAATGTTCTTTTCCTTGTCATGTTGTTCCTGTTTTGTTCATGATCTGGCATAACTCTTGTGGTCATATGCGGGAGTTAGTTTTCAGGCAAAGTGTTACTGTTTCTTTTTCTGCCTGACTGTGAAGGACAGAACCTATGTAGTCATTCCGGAGACTGCTGCTCTAGGTAGAAGAACAATGATGAGGTTGATGAAGTGTCAGAAGACGGCAAAATCCGCTCCGTTGTTGTGCTCTCCAACTTTTTAATTAGGAGTCCTGATGAATGGCTTGCTTGTAAAATATTCTTTCACTGAGAGACACCCCCGTCCAGTGAGGAAAGGTGAGGAAGTACATGATGAGATAAAGCAGGGCAGTCTGTCTCTGTCTGCTTTATCCCGAGTTTGTCCAGCTCACATCCAGGGCCTGTAGCTGCCTGTAACTGCCATAAATAATGTCCCAGGGGTTTCCAGAGGCTTCCACAGGCCAGAGCTGCCCCTGTAACATGTATTACCATGGAAACATGCGAGGTTGGGAGTTGTCTGTTACCATTTTCTTCTTGTAGAACTTTGGTTTAGATCCAGGGTTTCCCACAGGTTTTTTGTGTGTTTTCTAGATGGAGCCTTAAGATTTTGGCTCTTGTGGGATGAGCTACTTCCAGGTACTCGTGGTCATGAAGCCAGAAGGTTTTTCTGGAGCTGTCATTACTGAACAGCCTAGGAGACTTATGAGTGAGAACCAAAATTTTGCCAAGTTTGTATCTCAGAGGAAGTACTCTGAATGTTTCCCTTGCTGTGTCGTGATAGATGTGTGTTTTAATAATTTCTAGGACCCTGTGGATATTATCACTGGGACATAGCCACATTTCTTTCCTCCAAGTGAATAGAGATGTCCAATAAAGGCATCAAAGCTAGAAAGTGTGATTTAAAATTTGTTTTATGTTTATTTATTTATTTTGAGAGAGAGGCAGAGAGAGCATGAACAGAGGAGGAAGAGAGAGAAAGACACAGAATCCGAAGCAGGCTCTAGGCTCTGAGCTGTTAGCACAGAGCCCGACTTGGGGCTCAAACCCATGAACTGTGAGATCATGACCTGAGCTGAAGTCAGGTGCTCAACTGATTGAGCCACCCAGGTGCCCCTAGTCACTTACATTCTTAATATTAGATTCATAATTTTTATTTCTTTTTAAAAAATATTTATTTTGAGGGGCGCCTGGGTGGCGCAGTCGGTTAAGCGTCCGACTTCAGCCAGGTCACGATCTCGCAGTCCGTGAGTTCGAGCCCCGCGTCAGGCTCTGGGCGGATGGCTCAGAGCCTGGAGCCTGTTTCCGATTCTGTGTCTCCCTCTCTCTCTGCCCCTCCCCCGTTCATGCTCTGTCTCTCTCTGTCCCAAAAATAAATAAACGTTGAAAAAAAAAATTAAAAAAAAATTTATTTTGAGAGAGAGAGAGAGAGAGAGCGAGCACAGGTGTGTGGGGACGCACGAGTCGGGGAGGGCAGAGCAAGAGGAAGAGAGAGAATCCCAAGCAGGCTCTGCACTGTCAGCACATAGCCCAATGTAGGGCTCGAACCCACAAATCTCAAGACCATGACCTGAGCCGAAGACAGTTGCTCAACCGATTGAGCCAGCCAGACACCCCAGACAGTGTGCTTATATATGGATGAATGAGGTGCAGGGGAAAGAGTTTCTAGGAATAGAAATACGGACCCTTCATTATAATTTTGCAAAACATGATTTCTAGACTGTGATCTTTGGACATTTGTAGAGAGCTGGAAATAACAGGGGGTTCAAAAGAAAATGTAACTCTCCGTTCCCTCTAGCCCCTGCTGACCTCTAATCTATTGTAGGTATTTCTTGTCGATAGAGTCATACAACATTTGTCCTTTTGCGTTTGGCTTCTTTTACTTAGCATAATGTTTTCAAGGTTCATCTATGTTGTAGCATGTATTAGTACTTTGTTCCTTTTCATGGCCGAATAATATTTCCCTGTATTTATATACCACATTTTGTGTATGCATTCATCTGTTGATGGACGCTCGGTGGCTTCCACGTTTTGGCTATTGTGAATAATACTGTTGTGAGCGTGGTTGTGTATGGATCCTTGCTTTCTCTTCTTTTCCACCCCCACTTTTTAATTTAAATTGGGCCTGTATGTGGGAAGTCTAGTTTCTAAAAACCTGGTGTTTTGTCTGAATGCAGTCCTGTTCCTGGTACTTGGCATTCTGAAAGTATTTGAGCAATTCCACCAATTTCTTTGTTCATTAGTCTCCTCAGTATCCTGGGAGAAGGAGGAAGGAGGTCACAATTTGGGTATTCGGAAAGGGGACTCCAGGTCATGGGCCAGAGCCCGTCAGTGGAGCAAGCCTCTGTGCCCAACTTTCTCAGGTTGTGGTGTAATGGCTTACTTGGGTTGAAGTAGTCTTTGATAAATATTTCACATGATGTCCTTTATCTGGCCTTTTGCTACATTTCACTATAGTTTGCCACCTCATCAGGAGAGGACTTAAGGTTAGGGACAAAAATATCAAGTGAGAAGTAACTTTCCCACTCTGAAGGATCTGCTTTTATTTGTAAGATATGTCTGAATATACCCAGACTCAGATAACTCAGCTAATTCCTTACTCATTTAGAAAATTGGCATTAGAGGGGTGCCTGGGTGGCTCAGTTGGTTAAGCATCTGACTTCTGCTCAGGTCATGATCTTTCAGTTCAAGGGTTTGAGCCCTGCATTGGGCTCTGTGCTGACAGCTCAGAGCCTGGAGCCTGCTTCAGATTTAATGTCTCCTTCTCTCTCTGCCCCTCCCCTGCTCATGCTCTGTTTCTCTCTCTCAAAAATAAATAAACATTAAAAAATTAAAAAAAAAAAGAATAATTGGCAATAGGGTCGGTCTGAACTACAAGAAATATGGGGAATAGATTATGATTACTTTCAAGCATGTACCTTTGGGACCAAGAGCTTAATAGACTTTTCTTAATTAAAAGATAGCTGTAATTTATTTTTAAGTAGCTTCATTTGTATACAGTAGAGGCTACAGTCATTTAAAAAATGGTTGTATTTTTTTAAGCAGCAAAATTTATCCTCCAGTGTTGCTAGTTTGCTTATTACACTTCTCTTGATAAACATTGTAAAGAGTTCAGTTTCATCCAAACCTTTCTTACCATAAATTACTATCCCGGAAAGACTAAAACTGTAAGATTTTGTTTTATATAACTGGGCTTGCCCTCTTGGAAGACTGAGTATATAGTGGTTTTTGTTTGTTTTTTATCTTATAAGCTTTCTTTTGCCCCTAAAGCATGGCAGACCCTCCCCTTTACCACTCTTCTGCCACTGCCTGCCACCAAGGCTAAGGTTCTCACCCTGGAGCAACTCCTTTGGCTTAAAACCCTTCATTTCCAGGAAGCTGTTCAATCTAAAGTTGGTGTTGGTGTTGGTAGTCGTGGTGTGTGTGTGTTTCTATTTCAAAGATGCTCTTTAAATGGTTTTTTAATGTTTTTATTTTTGACAGAGTGAGAGAGGGACAGAGACAGAGCCTGAGTGGGGGAGGGGCAGAGAGAAAGGGAGAGAGAGTCCTAAGCAGGCTTCAGACTCTGAGCCATCAGCACAGAGCCCGACACGGGGCTCGAACCCATGAACTGTGAGATGGTGACCTGAGCTGAAGTCGGACACTTAATCAGTTGAGCCACCCTGTCACTCGGTCTGGCCACATTGTTACGGTCCCAGGTTTGCATGGGAATTTATGCTCACCCAAGAAGCAAGGGGCGGCTGTTGACCTCCATCTCAGGGTAGATTTGAGAGAAAACATGGTATGGAATTGGAGTCTTCAGAAGGCTCACGCCAACAGAGGCGTTTCAAATTCGAAAGCCTCGTACGATTGTTACCTTTTTCATTAGAGGCAGAGCTTGTAGGTTCCAAATTCATTAGGATTTTTAGTGAATAGGATGTTTTTGGTCTTGTACTTTAGGAACACTCATTAAATTGATTAGCCTTTCAAAATAATGCAACAGAAGTTAAAATGGGTTTATCAAAAGGGCCAAATTACAACAATGGTAATAATAATTTATGAAGTTCATTTTATGTACTGGGTATTGGGCTAAGTACTTCCCTCATAGTTGCATGTGATCCTCACAACAGCCCTGATTTGGGATTCATTCTCTTCATTTTATTATTATTATTTTTAAATGTTTATTTATTTATTTTGAGAGAGAGAGAGAGAGAGAGAGAGAGAGAGAGAGAGAACATGCATGGGGGAGCCCTGATGCAGGGCTCCATCCCAGGAACTGTGAGATCATGACCTGAGCTAAAACCGAGAGTCGGACACTTAACCAGCTGAGCCACCCAGGCACCCTACTCTCTTCATTTTAGAGGAGATAGGGTGGAGATTTTAAGAGGTTAAGCAGTTGCCCACATCACACAGTGGGATTTCAACACCGGCTCCCTGCCCTCTCACCTCCCTGCTCTGAGCCTCCTTCAGTGAAAGAAAAGATACACAACGACATCTTTCTGCTCTTAAGCACAATTTTAACCAATTTATCTCAGCAAAATAGCATCATCTGTTACATTTTTGTCTACATGTTAGATTTTATTGGTACCATTGTTTTGCTTATAACTTCTTTATAAGTAAATCATATATATTTATTTGTAGATGGTTTGGTTTATGTAGATGGTCTCAGGCTTATAAGCCTGAGAGTTTATACCTAGTTTTATGTATTTTTGTGTATTTAAGTAATATTATAATAAAAATGGCTTAGGTCAACATGGGCAGCCCACAGTATTAAGTCATTAACACCCTCAGCACATTAACACTGTTTACTTTAAATAAAATCCCTTAATAGCCCAAGAGACTGGACATATTTGATGGACCAGGAGTGAAGAGGTAAGAAGGAGGCTCAAAACGGAGCGTGTGTTCAGCAATAGCCCCATGGCTGGTTGCAGGGTACCAAGGAGGGAGGAGGGGTCGAGATCTATTTTCTCTCAGCGCGTTGAAGACCACATTCTCCTCTCTCTTGGCCACTGCCGTTGTGCTGGAAAGTCTGCTGCCAGTGTAAATGCCACTTTGTAGGCAGTCATTCTTTCCTCCAGCTGTTTTTAAGATACTCTCCGTGGTTTTCTCAGTCCTTACAACTCTTCGCCCAGATGTGGCTGTAGTTCTGTTTCCACCGCACAGGAATCCATGTGCTTCCTGAAACTTAGGATTCATGTCTTTCATCAACATTGGGAAATTCTTGGTAAAAATCTCATCAAATACGGTCTGTCCCTATTTCTACTTGTCTCTCGTATTGCAGTTCCTTTTCGTTCTCTTCTCCCTGGCTCTTCTTGACCTCTTGTTGATCTCACCATGTTACATTTTTGTTAATTTCTTCAGATGTATTTTTCTCTTTACCCATACTCCTTGGATACAAGGATCCAGTATAATATTTAGTGCATTTGTTAGGATTTTTAAAAAAATGTTTGTTTATTTATTTATTTTGAGAGAGAGAGAGAGAGAGAGAGTGTGTGTGTGTGAGCATGAGCAGGGGAGGGGCAGAGAGAGAGGAGAAAGAGAATCCCAAGCAGTCTCTGTGCTGTCAGTGCAGAGTCCAACACGGGGCTCAAACTCACCGACTGTGAGATCATGACCTGAGCCGGAATCGACAGTCAGACGCTTAACCAACTGAGCCACACAGGCACCCTAGGATTTTTTTTTTTTTTTAGTGGAAGAGAGAGGAATAGTTCATCGTTTACATTTTTAAACAACTTTATTGAGATAACATTTATGTACAATAAAGCACACCCACCTAAACTGCATAATTAGATGAGTTCTGATTAATGTGTATGCCTGTGAAACCCCCACTATAGTCAAAACATGGACCATTTCCATCACTCCTAAGAGTTTCCTTGTGCCCCTTTGGGAAGTCTTCAGCAATTACTTCTTCACATATTTTTTTCTGGCCTTTTTTCTTTCTCCCCTTCCTTTGGAATCCCAGTTGTATGCATATTGAACATTTGAATATCGTTCCCTCAGGTCTCCGAGGTTCTTCTCAATCTTTATTCTTTCGGTGACTCTGTCTTCAAGTTCACTGAATGTTTCTTCTGCCATCCTCCATAGATAATTGAGCCTATTTAATAAAATTTTTATATCTCAGTTTTTGTGCTTTTCAGATCTAGAATTTCTCTTTTTTTTTTTAGTTTCCATTTTTCTACTGAGAATTCCTAGCTGTCCGTTCAATACAATACCGTATTTTCCTTTACTTCTTTCAACATTTTTATAATAACTGCTTTCAAGTCTGCTAAATTCCACATCTGGAGGCATTCACAGTCAGTTTCTATTGGCTGCCTTTTCCCCTGAATACAGAATGCACTTTAACAATTCTTTGCATGTCTAGTAATTTCTGGTTGAAAATTGAGCCCTATAGATGATACGTTATGGCAACTCTGGATTCTCTAGTAATCTTCGGAGGTGTATTTTTTTTTTCTAGTAGGCAGTTAACTTGTCTGGACTCCAGTGTCCCTTTTGCCACTGTTGGGATATGCAGCATTGAATATCTCTGTTCTTGTGATGTCTCATTGCTATTTGTTTCACCTGGCCCTTTGGGAGTTTTCTGCTTCTTATAATTTAGTGGTTAGTCAAGGATTTCAACAGAGATGGAGGTCACTGTCTTTGGATTTTCTTGCTTCTTCTAGAGGTTCTCCTCTCCCTAATTTCTATCTCTTTGGCTGGTTTGGGGCTCTGTCTCTGACCTTTCAAGCCTATAGGATTCAACTTTCTGGCACCTGACTTGTGCATGTTTGGGAAGTTAGCTCCGTTTAAAAAAAAAAAAAAAAAAGGCAGCAAACTCACAGATAGAGCCACACACAGCTTTCCTATCCAAGAGCTGATTGCTTTCTGGTTTCTGCCCACTTTTTCCCTAGTCCCCTTAGTGCCTCTTCCCACACATGCGTAGTTTAGCTCTTGGCCAGGGATTTGGGCAGAGTTTATA